TGGAGCCTACGTATAGGAGGTTGTCAACATAGATGATGAGGAGCACGGAGTCCTCGCTACGAGAAAGACAATACATGCCCTAGTCGCATAGCAGCTGGGCAAAGCCCATGGCGGTGAGGATGCGGTGCAGGTACTGTTGCCACAGGCGAGGAGCCTGCATAATCCGGTAAAGGGATTGGACGAGTTGGCACACTAGCGTGGGGTCGTCGACATACGCGTGGGGCTGCTCGACGAAGATATATACATCAACTAGGGCATAAATGAATACTATTGCGACATCGATCTGGCATAGAGGAAGCTTGCGAGCGGCAGCCGCGGTGAGGAGGATGCGACCCTTTGAATGTGTAGTCGCGACTGACGAGAGCGAAGGTCTCGGTCTAGTCGCGGCCGTCCTGCAGGTCGAATCCGCGCACTACCCAACGAGCTTTGAAGCATTCGATGGTCCCATCTGCATTTGTTTTCACGTGGAAGACCCATTTCTCCGAGAGAATGGTCTTTTCCATCGTTTGAGAGATTGGAATTAACTTCCAAGTGTTTCTCTCATGCAGTGCCGCTAATAACCGATCCATTGCCTCCCTTCATTTTTCCCTCTTCGGTCCCTCCAGTGCTTTCTTGACAGGTTTTGGTTCCTCTACTTGCGGCGTCGAAGGCGGCGGGTGCACGGCTGCAACGAGTTCGAGTAACTACAAGCCCGTTTTAGAGAAGCGGGGGATGTGTGGATCCTCTAGATAGTCTGCTTTGTCTCCCGCTTCAGTTTCAGGTTTGAAACCATGTCCTATGCATTCGGAAACATTGTTGTCGACGCATTGTGGTGTAACTTAACCGTCGTCAATGAAATGATAATAGGCATCAGCATTCACACTTATGCGATGGTTGTCGTCGTCCATGGGGACGTCAATGGAGCAGTAAGGTAGAGGTCCTACGACTGCAGATGCGTCCGAGATGTTTTCTTCGTCCAGTTCAGCTTCTTCTCCTGTCGAGGCGAACGCTCGTGCGCCAGCGAGGCCACCAGATGGGTCCTGATTGATGGCGATGTTGTCGAGGTAGTGGTTGAGGGTGAGGTTCTCGTAGAAGATCGCATCACGTGCCGGTACTGTTTCCTTGCTCTTCACGTCAAAGATTTTCCATGCCTTGTAATTGTTTTCCACTCCGAGGTGTAGTCCCCATCGTGCCCACCGCAAAAAACGTCCTGCTCGTGCAATGTGTGGGCGGTACTATACCATGCAGCTGCAAACTCGTAAAAGCTTTGTGCTGCCCTGCTTCCCTGTCCACAGCTGATGCGGTGATGCATTGTTTGGCGAGGAGCTTGATGACAGAAGATTTTGCAGCATTTACAGCATGATTCATCGCCTCTGGCCACTGCGAGTTGGGCAGACGCATGCCGTCAACAGCTTTTGCATGTTATTCTGGAGGGTCCTATTCATCCTCTCTGCTACGCCATTCTGTGGGTGAGCGTAGGGGAGGGTTACGAGCCTCTTGATTTCTCGCACTGCAAGATAGTCCTTGAAGCCCTATGATAGGTATTCCATCGCCCCCTCTGTTTGAAATCTTTTTAGCTTTACATCTCCCTCCCGCTCTACTGTGGCAAGCCATGCAACAAAGGCAGAGAGGGCGAGGTCGCGTGACGGCAGGTTAAGATGCCAGGTGTAACACATGGCGGCATCGATGAAGATGATGTAGTTGAGGTCGACTCATCCGACTTCACTAGGGATAGACAGTATTTCAGTGTATACCTTCTCGAGGGGAGTATACTCAGAGGCGCTAGGGTTGTGATGCTAAGGGAACGGTTGTCGAGTAAGATCTGCGCGTAGAAGGCGGAGACGGTCGCGGTGTTTCGATGCTGCTCGCGAGAATGTGCCTTAAGCTACGTCGCTTTGGTTGGTGGTGGTTTGTTGACGGGTGGCATTTAAGTCAGAGCCGCTTCGACGGGTGGCGCGGATGCAGTCCCAGATATGGGATATGCAGGGAGTGCTCGTGTCGGCACTTGTTGCTCGATTGCTTAGGGTAGTTCCGTTTCCCGTGTTTCTTCTGCTTCACGCACCAGAGCTAACAGTCATGAGCTCTCTGCTTCAGGGATGGTGTTGGAGTACCAGAAGCCATTGCGGTCGAAACCGGGGTCAAGATCCGGCGGGTGCATCCAGGACGTGAAGGAGATGACGCCATCGCTGTCAGTTGTGCCATGGTCTTGGACAAAGTCCAAGATGAAGACGCCATGCTTCTAGATCGCTCTGCCGATGCAGAGGCCGCCCTTCCCGTGGTAGAGGTGAGACTCCCGATCGAAGCTATTGCACTCCATATGAATGCCTTTGACATGAGCTGACTGTTGCTTTCTTGAGCCTGTGCAATAGGGTACATTACCGGAGCAGAGAAGCGCGACCGCTATCTCGAGAGGCTAAGGTCGGACATAACGGAAGTTATAGCTATTCACGGATTGTCCATCTCTGAGGCAGTAGTTGTAGCAGCTGAATGTATCGACGAAACACAAAGCTGACACGAACGTAACGATCACGATAGGGGTTACGAGAATTGGATCAACGATACTAGCTCGAAGGACCGGCCATCGCATATGGAGATTTGTGAAGTTAATAGTGACGACTCACAAAGACCAAGGTTTATGAGGGACTGTCACTACTATAAAAAGCCGGGGCACATGAAGCCGGACTGTGCTCAGCTTAAGGAGTAGTAGCAGAGAAACAGCGGGTCGCTAGCTGGTGTGCATGCATCGGTACATGCCTAGTCTAACTACGAAGAGAAGACGACCCTCGAGCAATCATGTTGCAGATTACTACCGTCGATTCGTTCAAGGTTATGCATCCATCACCAGTCAACTCACCAACCTAATTCGTAAGGGTGCAAAGTTACATTGGGGTCCATTATAGCAGCAAGCATTTGAGCGGAAAAAGTCATCTCTCACGTCTTAGCCAACTCTCTCGGACCTCGATCCCTCTCGTCCATACATAGTAGTGACCGACGCATTAGATCAGGCAATTGGAGCAGTACCTCTTCAGGACCAGGGATGAGGGTTGCAGCCGATCGTATACGATTCACGTAAGCTGTGGGGAGCGGAGCTGAGATATCCGATCCATGAGAAGGAAGCGCTAGCAATTATTCACGCATACAATATAAGGAGGTGCTATCTGGAGGGGGGTGATAATATCGTATGCATGGACCATCGATAGCTATAATTCTTTAAACTCCAGTCACAGCTGACTCGTTACCAGGCTAGATGGATGGAGTTCATAGAGAAAAGTTTTAACTAAAGGATAGAGTACAAGCCAGGCGTGCGCAACCCAGTAGATACGCCCACTCGTCCTTGTTGCAAAGTCAGTAGCCTTACAGTCACGACTTGCTATCCTCTCCTTACAGCACTCTTCGAGCAGGGATTCACAGTAGATCCAGACTTTGCACTGTAGCCGCCCACAAGAGAAAAGGTGCAGGTTATTGTCTACATCATAAAGGGTTGCTCACAAATTTGGGTTCCAGCCTACCGCCCTCTTCACCAGCTCCTACTCTTAGAGGCACATGACATTGTTACTGCATGTTACTTCTGTCGTGATATGATAATGAAGACACCTGATTGCACATACTTTTGTCTAGGGCTCGCAGGTGATGTGGAAGATTACATTCGCTCATGTGATATGTATCAACGCACTAAGTTCTCTCGTCACCATAAAACGAGCTTCTCCAGCCAATTCCACCACCGGATCATAATTGGTAAGTAGTAACAATAGATTTCATCATACCTCAACCACGGATAGTTAGGGGTTACGGCACAACCTTTGTTGTAGTGAACAAGTTCTCTGTAGCATCACACTTTATTCCCACGCACCACAAGGCCACAGCTGAGGAAGTCGAGATGATATCCGTAGATAATATAGTCCGACTGCACGGAGTTCTGGATTCCACAATCTCAAACCGTGATTCTCGTTTCACTTCTAAGTTCTGGAAGCATCTTTTCACTCTCTTCGGGACTTGCCTAGCCTCGCCGTGCTGCTCGTTGACAATGCTAGCATGCACAATGTGGGGTGGTCGATTGACAACATCACAGAGCACGAGTTCAAGGGAATCAAGATTGTTGACATCCCCTCAGTCTGCGTCGTCGACCCCCTCTCCCAATTGCACGTCCCGCATTCAGCCATTAGACCAGAGGGTTGTCTCGACGCTGAAGATGAGGTACAATAAGCTCTTATTGGGCTGGCTTATTAAAGAGTTTGATTAAGCTGGGGGCGGGGATGGAAGATGGTAATGGAGCACCAACAATCAGGCATGGGGAGTAGAGTGCTGTCGGAACCGAGCGCACCTATCATGCTAGATGAAGAAGAGCTTTAGCTATATGGAGGTCGGGGGCTGCCACATGAAGAGGATTTGGCATTGGGTTTGCCGGCCCAAACTATTATGGGAGAATAGAGGACCTCGCCAAGAGGAAGAAAATTAGCACGGTCCCAAACCTAATCTTAGGGCCTGGCTCTGATCCTGGACTGTTTCTGCGGATCACATGTCGGATTGCATGTCACAGTTCTCCGTGGTTGCCGTTTACTCATTATTTCTTGTTAATATTATTTTTGACTATCTCTAAATATAATCTGTATATGCAGAAGCCTTTTGTGCGTGTTCCTTGAATTCATATTGCGCCAGCTTATGTCTAGGTTCCAGCTCCCTGTTGGCACGTTCCCTCCTTGCCGAGTCATCACCTTTTTGGCGGTAGATGACTCGGCAGACGTTTCGCGCGCTTGCCTTATGAGAAATAAGTGGCAACCAGGCTGTTGGCGCTAATTGCTCGCTCATCCGTTAGTGGCAAGATACAGAGCCTGTACAGTGAAACAAGAAAATGGTGGAGGGTTGGTGTATGCGACATGCATTCACCAGGTTGTTTCTACAGCAGGGTAACCTTGCCTCGCGAGGTCGCAAGTATACGACTTGCATTCAGTAGGTTGTGATGGTCGTCAGATTTTCGCCGTCGCCAAGGCTTTTTGCTGGGGTCACCTCCTGGCGTTTAGGGCAAGAATGAACCTCCCCCTCAACCCTTTCTGTCCCCTCCTTCCCCCAACGAATATGCCGACAAACACTACCTTTCCGCAGCATTTTTTAAGGATCGGTACTACTAAGCCGCATCGCACACAGCTTTTGAATTAGAATATAATTAAGGCCGGGCTTCCGTCACCCGCTGTGGAAGCGCGCTCGCCATGGGGCGCCGCATCGGCATGGGCCCGGACGGCGCGGGAAACCTTTGGCTCGGCGCGCTGTTCGTGCTGACGTGTCTCGCCGCGGTTTTTCCCGTCCGCTGTGCGCCCGACGCCGCCTCCCAAAGTACGTTGCTGTGAAGCACACGCTGCCAGACGGCGTCGTCGGCTCGTTCTCGAATAATTGAAGCGCGCTGCCACACGCTTGCTGGGCGCAGCCTGGTTTCCTGGGCGAAATTCGCCGACTTGACAAAGGATGCCGCATCTCGCGGATGTTGAGATCAAACGAATGTTGAGATCTCAGGGTGACGTTCACCAAAATCCAACCCTACGCTTCTCACTCGCTATGAATTGCGCCTTTTCGGGAGTAAAAATCACAACGATAGATTCTAACTATGCATACCGTCTTCTACTAGCAGTATTAATCTGCCGATTGTGGTTAATCAAGGTGATTTGTGTGCTCCTCCCTCCTTCCCCTCTCCTCCCACTCCCCGCCTACCTCTCTCCTCCCTCCTGCCCCTCTGCCCCCTCTCTCTGCCTCCAGTGCAATTCCTGCTGGATTTCCAGCAGGCGTCGGGGGGGACGTTTCCTGGGTGGGTGGCTGGGGGAAACTGCAGCAGTGCCGCGAATGTGACTTGCGATGCCCGGGGAATGGTCACCAGCATGTGAGTAAACGAACCCTTCACGGCCATGCATTCCTTCATCACAGAGAAGGCTTGTTGTCATTAAGGGAGGTGGCTTCGATGTCCCACGTGCTCTTTCTCTCCCCAATCTCGTCCATCACTATCACAATCCCTCCCACCGCTTTGCTCCGGCGCTCCATCTCGCGTTTTACCACCTCTCTCTCACTCCCCGCCCCCCCACACCCTCGCTCCCCTTTCTACCGCCCTTCCTTTTCCCTTGCCTGGATCACATCGGAAGGAGTCAAGTACAGCCCAGACAGCCTAAACACTATAGGCATGAGCAATGGCCCGGCCCGACCCGGTTTCGGGTCGGCCCGACTATAAACCGAGCCGGGCTGGACCTGCCGAACCCGGCCCGGGTTCTCAGACTTCCCGGCCCGGCCTGGGCTTTTGACGGGGGCCAACCCTGGCCCGTGGGGCGGGCAGGGCTGGCCCGCCCTCAAAACGGGCCGAATTTGGGCCAACCAGCCTGACCTGACGACTCCGGCCCGACATGAATGACCTCGTTGGGCCGGCGGCCCGGGGGGGGGGGGGGGGGGGGGGGTTGTGTGGCGGAAAAGGGAGGGGGGGAGCGGGGGACATGCAAACATTTCGTCGACGAATTGTCCCCTGGTTTAGGGGGGGTTGGGGGGAAGGTGATTGAGGGAATCGGGGACTTGGAAACAATTCGTCCACACGAATTTGCTCAGCCTAGGTCGATCTGAATCTACTTGTAATACAGCCGCGCGCCAGCAGCAGGAACAAAAACTAGCCACCCTGCTCGATTTTTCCTGCTGCTTAGTGCGTGTTTCTCACGGATCCGCCCTTGCCATGGGTTAGGTTAGACCAGTTCCACGTTTAGTGACGTCGCCGTGGCTGGACTAGCCACCAATGTTACGGGGCTGGACTAGCCGCGTTTAGTGACGTTGCCGAGCCACCAATGTGATGGGGCCTAACATGTCGACCAGGGATGCATCTGGTTGCAGACTCCCACCCCCCCTCCCCCCCCCAAAACGAGTCAAGCTTTGACTTGACTCGACTGAGTCGACCTCTAACTCGGTCGAGTCAAGGGTGACTCGGCCTCCAAAATCCGAGTCACGAGTGACAAGTCTCAGCTTTTTAGCCCCCGACTCGGGTCCAAGTCGGTTGTGACTCGACTCGGTTTTGGCTCGACTCGGATCTGACTCAGCCGTGACTCGGCTCGATTCGGTCCATGCTCATTGCTCATGCCTAGTTCCCCCCTGGACCACTACCCGAACCGACCATTTGAGGCTGGGTAATATGGTACCCGGGGGGCCGGTCGGGTTTACCCGGCCCAGGTATTCTTAATCTCGGGTATTATTACCCGCCCCTTACGAGAGGCCCTAATACGCCCCTGGCTGCCCCTAAGCTCCCTAAAACCAGCGCCATATCGAAGTGCAGCGGGTCGGGTATATCCGACGTACCGGATAACCTGAGTATTCGGGTAGCAGTCAGGTACCGGGCATCCACTACCCGGGCCAAAAATCTGAACAGACCCGGCCAGGTATTGCAGAGCTCGAGCACTACCCGACCCGGCCTAAATGTCGGGTCGGGTCGGGTATACCCAGGGTGGAAAAATACGGTTTTCGTATTATACGGTCGTTTTTTTCGGTTCGTTCTATACGGTTGTATTTTGAAAAATACGGCCGTTTTTTTATTAGACGGATTTTCGACAAAAAAAAAAACTCAAAAATTGCGGACATGCGGTACAACTTGCTTAAGGTGGACGACACGACGCTAAGGTGGTCAACTACCATGACTAGAGGTACGTTTCATCTACCTCCTACTCCTCCTCCCCCTCCTCCTCGGCGTACCACTCCCCCGGCCCCTGCTCCTCCTCGTGGCGCGACCTCCTCCTCACACTACTACTCCTCGTCCTCCTCCTCATCCGCCCCACTGTCACCATCGCTGCAATCCCAGGGGTTGCTCCCCTTGGCCCTCTTGCGAGGCTCCTTTGATCCACTGCCCTCGCCCTCCTCCTCGTCCTCGCCCTCCTCCTCGACCTCCTCATCCTCCTCCTCTTCCTCATCCTCCTCCTCCTCCTCCTCCTCCTCCTCCTCCTCCTCCTCCTCCTCCTCCTCCTCCTCCTCCTCCTCCTCCTCCTCCTCCTCCTCCTCCTCCTCCTCCTCCTCCTCCTCCTCCTCCTCATCGTAGGCCACTTTCTCCTTCCCCTTACGGGACCCCCTACCCTTCTTGGCCCGCTTCTTGCCCCGAGCCTTGGATGCCGCCTTTTTCTTCCGCCCGCCGATGTTGCCAAAGGCATCCCAGTCGATGGTACACACCTCCCCGCCCTCCTCCTCTACCTCCTTGTTGGCCTCGGCTTCCACACGGGGGGGTGGGGTGATGTTGGCACCCTCCTTCAGAGTGCCATTGGTGAGGTCGTCGTACAGCTGAGCTCGAGCCTCGACCTTCTGGTCAAAGGCTGTTCGCGCCCGCCTGCCAAACGCGACGAACGTCACGTCCGTCATGGTGGAGGCGTTCAGCCTGTTGCGGTCGCGCGTTTGGACACGAGCCAGAGCCGACCAGTAGCGCTCAACCTCGCAGGATGTGACTGGCTGTGACAAGATCATCACAGCCAGCTCCTGCAAGGCGGCCACCTCGCCGCCGTACATCCACCACCACTCGGCGTCGGAGAGCTGCCCGCTCTCCACCAGAGCCGTCGCTGCCCAACGGGCCTCCACGGATCCCAGGCGGCCCTCTTCCTTGTGGAAGGTGCCCAGCTGAGCCGCGAGCATGGTGCGCCGAGGTACATCCCCTCCCTTCGCCAAAAACACCTCCTCTGCCCCCTGCCTCACCTCAGGGTCGTTCCGCACCTCCCCCACGTACTGGTTGCGGGGGTTCAGGAGCCACCCCGCAGCGTGGAGCGGGTTGTGCAGTTGACCATCCCAGCGGTTGGCAATAATCTTCTTCACCGTGACGAGGAAACTCGCCTTGTCCTTCGCCTCGAGCAACGCCGTCCGCTTGACAAAGAAGGCGGCTGCACGGGGAGGAGACGTGCCGAGGGAGGGTGAGATTAGGTACAGCTAAGAACGCCCATGGGAATGACACATGAGTGCCGCTCGCACGCCGCGGGGGGAAATGGGCAAGCAAGAGGTTGGCTTACCTGCCGCCTCTGCCGCGTCGGTGGTCTCGACAGTGGCCTCCAGCATGAGGCCATAGATCTGGCCCATGAGGAGACATCGCTTGTCGACCCGCCTCAGGACCTCGTAGATGGGTGTCATGAGCTTGAGCACCACGGCGACGCTTTCCCAGAAAACGTCCTCGAGGAGGAGGCTGCGAATTGCTTTCCCCTCCTCCGTGCGGGAAACTAGCACCTCCTCCCATGCATCGCTGATCACCATCTCCCGCAGGGCCTTCTTCACTTCGAGGAAGCGCCCGATCATCAGCACTTGCGTCCCGAAACGTGTAGCTCCTGGGCGCATAAGCTCCAAGGAGCTGAAGACCTCGCGGAACAAAGTGACCGCGGAGGCTGACTTCTTCACCATCATCACCACCCTGTGCACCTGCCCGAGGATGCGCTGCACGGCGCGGATTGCTCCTATGTCGTGCAGCATTAAGTCGAGGCAATGGGCGGCGCAGTTGGTGTAGAAGATTTGCGGGTACCCCTCCTTCAACAACGCCCCCGCCTTCTTGTTGTTGGAGGCGTTATCCATGACCACCTGGATGACGAGCCGGTCCCCCACGTTGCAGATCGACCGTCGAATAAGCTCCGCGAGGTAGCTCCCCGTCTTTTTCGCGGTTTTGGAGTTGACGACGTCGACGACTACGGGTGCCGTATCGTTCTGAGCGATTACGCCCACGTATCGTCGAAGGCAGGACCAGCCGTCGACGGTAAGAGAAACGCCACTGGTCCTCCACGTGTCCTTCAGCGGCTGCAGCAACTCCTCCGTGTCGGTCTTGAGTTTCGCGAGCAGCGGCCCGCTGACCTTGTACGCGGATGGAAGCTTGTACGGCTTCCCAAACTGGACTGCCGCGTTGACGAAGGCCTGCAAGGCTGGCGACTGTGATGTCCGAAACGCGAGGTCGTTTTTAGCGACCACTGTCGCGCAAAGATAATCCAACCGCTGGCGGCCAGCCACATCAGCTAGCTCGCGAATGTCTTGCTGACGCGAGCGCGGGGCAGAGTGCACCGTCGAGGACGAAGCTCGTCCTTGCGTGCCTTCAGGGGACGTGGAACGTTCTTGTTGGTTGCTCTCACGCAGCTGCTTCGCGTAGTCCGACGGGCAAGTGGAGACATTCTTCTCCATCGAGCTAGGGGTGCCATAGATATGCTGCCCTATTCTGGTCGCGTTTGGAGTGACACTAGAGCCACAATGAATGCAAACTGTGCTAATAACAAGGCCGGTCGGCTCCTTCACCTTCTTAACATGCTCCCAAATGTCGGATAGCTTCCTAGGCATGGCGTACACAGTAACGCCAGTAGCTGAGAAAATCGTGCGGTGGATTCGATCGTGCGAGGTGAGCTGCGTACAAGACTGTGCTCACCTTTCTGGAAGTGCTCCAAGTTTGTACCTGGTGGCCAACCTGCATTCTTGAGCGACGTGGAAAGACCTTGTTGACCTTGTTGGTAGGGATCGCAAATGACCAAGTGTGATTGGTCACGATTCGAATTTGCGACACGCGAATTTTTGGGGAGGTCGCTTGGCCCGCGAAAATTGAGTCTACAGGGCGGGAAGCAACCCAACGACACAGGCGAAACGGGTGTACAGCCCGTTCTCTCTTCGTCAAATGTTGGCATCAGGCGGCTCGACAAAATGTTGGAATCGCGCCTCGGCGATAAACCATCACTTCAACCTGACAAACATTCAAGATCCAACCAACCCACATTGCGATTTCGTTACAAGCCCTAAGCATGCAAATATTGGTTGGTTCGAAAAATACGGTCGTATTTTTCGACCGTATTTTTGCACCAACCAAAAAACACAGCTTTTGACCGTTTTAAACCGTTTTATACGACCGTATCATACAATTCCGTATAATACGGCAAAAAAAAAAAAAAAGACCATATTTTTGCACCTTGGGTATACCCGATGGCACAGGTAATTTGCTAAAGTCTAAGTGCAGTGCAGTGCACGTTGCCCAGCGTGCGGTGCACCTACGGCAATGTACATGGGACAAAATTTCGTCTCTCTTCTCCATGCACATTGTCCCAGGTGGAAGATTTGAGGGCTGTGCTGTGGAGGTCTCTCCAATGAGCATTGCCTTCAAAACGGCCCGGCAATCCCTATTTGAATCTCTCTACCCTCTCTCTCCTCTGCTTTGCTTCGTGTTCCCCTTCCCTCATGGAAATTGCTCAACGTCCCGCTAGGAATCTGCGTGCTGTGGGATTAACTGGATCCATCCCATCTACCATCAGCAGCATGGTCAGCCTGACCCGCCTGTGAGAAAAAGCTATTCTGGTATGAGGTTGACCATGCACGTATGGGCACAACCTATCCCGGCTTCCTTCAAGTGGGCTTCTGATACAGTTGTCAGAAGTAGACACGGGCATGAGCCGAGCCTGGCTCGGATCGAGCCGAGCCGGCTCACTATCAAGCCTGGCTCGGCTCGAGTCGAGCCGGGCACCAAAAATGCCTGGCTCGGCTCGCATTTTCGTGGGCGAGCCAGGGCTGGCTCGAAGGCTAGACGGCTCTCGGCTCGCCTAGCACGCGCTTGAGCCGACAATAGTCCGCGCTTAAGCCTACAGTAACGTGTGCTAGAGCCTATGCAAGCGCGCGCTGTCAAGAGTGGCGCGGGCTGCTTAGGATTACTTGCGCTAACTGAGCTAACCTACTCTCAGGAGCAAGGTTCAAATTCACGGCTTTCGAAAAATGCAGTTCGTAAATTACGACCGTTTTTTTCGGGCAGTTTGGGAAAAAAACAGCGTAGTTTAAAAAGAGCAGTTGATTTATTTATTTTTCTGAGGGAGAATGGCTCCTATGCGGTTCCAACGTTAACTGAATGCTTAATAATGCACCATGGCACCTACAAACACGACCTTCAGACACGCATGACCCCTATTTGCACCTAATCCCTACACTTGCACATACTACCTCCTCCTCTTCCTCCTCCCCATTCTCCTCCTCCTCATTCTCCACATCCTCCTCCTCATTCTCCTTATCCTCCTCCTCCTACTCTACGCTAGCGATTTACCCGCTATGTATTTTAAAATCGCAAGCGATGATTGATTAAATCGCATCGCATTTCTGGAGGTTTTTAAAACAAGTCTGCAAACATTGGGAAAAAAAAAAAACGACTACTGGAAAGTGGAACACGGGATGGCGTGCAGCATGGACGATTGAAAATACTGTTCAAAATGGGCTTCACACAAATGTGAGCCCCGTGGTAAGGGCCCGAATTTCGTAGCTTAAATAAAGTAAGGGTGGGGAAGGGGGGAGGGGAGGGCAGTTGCCAGCTGGATGGTGTGGGGAGTCTGAGGTTGCGGGAAAGGAGGGATGGGGGTTTAAAGGGGGGGGGAGGGGAGGGAGGGGAAGGGAGGAAGCAAGCATGAAGCATAGTCACCGGTCTAGCACGTTGTCAATATAAATAAGGTAATGTCCTATCAGTTCTCGGACCCCCCAGCAGCACGCTAGCCCTCAAAGCCCTGGACCTATCTCAAGGCCCAGATCGCACGCCTCAAAGGCCGTCTCGTCATCTTCGGCTGCTACCGCGCCATCAAGCCGCTGTCCAGGGTGAGAGGCAATCCATGACTTCAACTTCATGCAAGCACGGATTCGCTCCGCACCCAAGCGGTAGCGCTGCCAGTGGATGAGGTTGCGGCCCTGTGAGAACAGGCGCTCGCAGGGGGCAGAGGTGGCCGGGATGGCGAGGTAATCCCGAGCCATGCGCTGCAGCGCTGGAAGCTCCTGGTGGACCTTCCAGAACTGTAAGGGGCAGTCGTGCAGTTCCGCCAAGGGGAGTGGCGGGTACTGTTGGATCTCGTCCTGCACCGACGAGATCTGTGCGGCCCGCACTGTTGCGAGGTGAGTAAACACACCCATGTCCTCATCCTCCTCATCCTCGGACTCCCTCACATCCACTCCCATCCCGCTGCTGCCCCCCTCTACCGCTGCTGCTGCCCCCCTCTTCTCAGCCACCTCCTCATCCACCTTTCTCTTGTACGTCTCCCACCTATCGCGCACCAACTGCTCCACCTCGCCGGCATCCAACTCCTCCACCACCCTGGTGCTGCCCTCCACCATAGGCCGCTCAAACCACACTCGCTTCAGTGCCGGGTCCAAGAATGTGGCCACGTTGAGGTCATCAGTGCTGGAGTAGAAATAAGTGAGCATTTTCTCCAACGCCTGGGACACGCACCGCGCCATCACCGATCCCGGCTTCGCCGCTGCCAGCTTGCGCTCCAGCCAGTCCAGTACCCCATTGTATTGTGGCACCACACGCGCCACAGTTGGGTACACCGACCCCTCCGCCGCCAGAGTCACGTTGTTGAAAGGCGCCAGGAACGCCATCAACTCCTGCAGTATCGCCCACTCATCGTCTGTAACGGCCCTCTTGTCCAGGTCTGCCTGCTCCTTCTTGTTACACCCTTGGAGTTGAGCAAACAAGGGTGTGGGGGAGGGGGAGGAGAGGGGAGCCGGGAACGGAGGGGGGACGGGGGGCAATCGTTCTGGCAGGGGCTTGGAGTGTGGCGGGGGGGACACGGCCGGGCGATGGAGGTAAGTAGGCGGCAGAGGGTTGGTGGTAACCAAGTTACATGACATACCTCCTTAGCCACAAAGGCCCTGATTGGGCCTTTGAGCTCGATCGCTCGCTTCAGCATGGCGTGGGTGGAGCCCCAGCGCACCGGATTGTCCTGTTTCAACTTCAAGGGTTGCTTCCCAGGGAACTGGTGACGCTGCTCCTTCTCGAAGGCTGCCGTCTTGGTCACTGAGAAGCCAATGCGCGACGCGAGGTTGCGCAGCTTCTTCAGCGGCGCTTCCACCTCCGGCACCCCACCCATAGCCTCCTGCACTGCGAGGTTGTTGACATGGGCGAGGCACCTGCACCAAGCACAAGGTTTTGGAGGTTAAAACAAATGACCACGCCTTTTCAAAGGGTTAGGGCAACTACGGCCTGCGTGTTGGAAAAACCATGGCCGGCGAGAAAAGGCAGGATGTCATACCGGACGTGGGCAGCCTTGCCGAACAAGGGGGTCGCGCGCGTCTTCCCATCTCCCTGATCCCCTGCCTTGAGAAGATCGAATGCCGCCCCGTTCACAGACGCGTTGTCGGTCGTGAGCGCCATACACCGCCCGGCAAGCCCCCAGTCCTCGATCATCTCCTCCAAGATGTTGGCGACCATCCTCGCTGTGTGGCCGGCAGAAAGAGGCCTGAAGTCCAACGTCGCCTGCTTCAGATTCCACTATGCATCGATGTAATGCGCAGTGATGCCCATGAAACCGATGTCGTTCTCCGCCGACCAAATGTCCGTCGTGTAGGAGATCGCACCCACCCCCTTGTCAGCCGCCAACTCGGCCTTGGCCAACTCCTTGCACTGTGCCGCCTGTCGCATGATGAGACGGGCGAGCTTGTGCCGCGAAGGAATGACCCCCGGCTGAGCAAGCCGGGGGTTGGCCTCACCCATGAGGCGGCGGAACTGATGGAAGGCGAGAAAGGTGAAACAAAGAGGTGAGGCCATGACGAGTGGAGGGCGAGGTAGGGATGTACCATACAGGATAACTTGACAGAAGAACACGCCATGGGGAGGGTGGCTGGGACTCACACTGTCTCGCTCGACTGTGCAAAACGCAGAGTCGGTGTCGACAATGTACTCGACGAGCAGCTGCTCCCAGCGCGGCAGGTCGAGGGGTTTCTGCAATTAGCGCATAATCCCGCGCCCCCCCTCCCGGCCGACCGAAGGCCCGTCTTCCTCCGCGTCCTCCAACTTGGGCCAGTATGCCGACCCCCACCAGGTACTGCCCCCGTCGGGGACCTCACCGTCCCCAAACCCCCCCTTTGGTAGCTGGTCCCCGACCTTCATGTCCCCCTCCCGCCTTAGCCACATCAAGATGTCCCAATGAGCCCTCTGGTAACCAATCATGTGTGATCGCCCATTCGACGTGGTGCGGCTTGCGAAGCTCACTAGGAAGTTGCACATCCTACACCTCCTCCAACCTGGTGCCGACTCCTCCATGTCAAAACAAGCCGCCACACACAGTCGAGGTTCCTTCTCCACCTCCGTGGAGGAGCCCACATGACCCTGCTCAGTAGCCCCATGACCATCACCCTGGCCACCTCCCGCCGCCCCCCCCCCCCCCTCCCGGCATCCATGGGAGCCCGGGCCGCACCTCGGAAACTCCCTCCTCCCCCTCCGCTCCCCCGCGCCTCGTGGAGGTATCCGGGTGACATGCCAGGCCTGCCGACATCCTCGCGCAGCAGTCCCTTCCGCCCCCTGGGCCAGCCCCGGGGACGGCCCCTGGGAGCCCCCCCCACCCCCCCATCCCCCTCTGCAGGTTTACGTGCCTTCTTCCCCGAAGACCCGACCGAGGGAGAAGGCCCGTCATCCACCTTGCGCTTCCCCTTCTCCTCGCCGCCAGCTCCCCCATCCTCCTCCCCATCCCCCTCCTCCTCCGCCACAACGTCGTCGTCATCACTCTCCTCCTCCTCAGCCACCTCCTCATCCCCCTCCTCATAGGCAATCCGCACCCCCTCCGCCGATGCTCGGATCCGCCAAGCATCCCCGTCCTCCGCCTCGTCCCTAACGGCTGCCTTGCCCGCAAGGGCGGGCTCCGTAGCGTCGGTCGCGCCACTCCCTTGCGTCCCAATCCCGCCGTTGCCTGGGGCTCCTCCCATGTTCCCGTCGCCTTCCACCCCTAGCGAGGTACGCGCCTTAATCCCCTGCAGCTTCGCGAATGCCGCCTCCGTCATCTTCCTACGCTGAGCGCGCGCTTCCTTGCCCCTCAATGCGTGCGCTCCAGTCTGAGCATCCGGTGCATCCTCGCGGCCGCGACCCGCGCCACCACCACTCCTACCGCCCCCACGCCCCGCACCTGCTCCACCCTGCTTCCCCATCGCAAGTTGTTAAAGCGCCTCCTCAACCTAAACCCGAAACCCTAACGCGGCCGATTCGATGCGCGTCGCGTGATAAACCCAGCAACTTGCGGCTAAATAAGATACGCAATGCTGTAAACGGCAATGGCTGTGCGTCGTGGCTAGAATCTAGCTGCCAAACGGTGGAAACCCTTGCGACGCCACCAATACGGCAAATGCGTGCGCGAGTGACGGGGCTCGACTAAAAGGCCATGCGGCGCGCAATCTACTACGCGGCGTCTACAAATTTCAGCCACAAAAAACCGTGAAGAACGGTGGGTTTTGGAGTACTCGGAGGTATGTGCAAAGCCCTGAAACGTACTCTCAAACGAAAGAGATTTTGAGAAATGCGTTTTGGGGCTTTGCGATTTTTCCCTATGTGCTGGCGAGATTTCGCGCTGCGATGTATTTCAACATCGCGCGCAATTTATTTTTAATCGCAAATCGCAATTAAATCGCGATTTCCAGCCGTGATTAAATTGCGATTTAAATTAAATCGCGCGATGAATAAAAAAAAAAAAACATCGCCATCGCAAAACGCGATTAAACGCGATTAAACGCGATGCGATGCGATGCGATTTAAATTGCTCATGTCTACCTGTTTGCCAGCTTTGACTAGGTCCGCTGCGGGGATTGAGTTTGCCAAGCCCTACATGAACTCCTAATCTAGACCAGTTGGTGTTTTGAAACTAGCTAAGGTGGGCGCAATGTACAACCGATGTAGTTGCTGGCTAGGGTTGGTGGGATTGGGGTGGGGATGGGGTGGTACTAGTCTGTGAGGATAGTGTTTCATCGATTCACCAACTGTCTGTACCCACGCGAATCCCCCCAAATCCCGAGGCGTGAGCCACTTGACTCGAAATCGAGCCACGCCGTAAAAAATGGTGACGAGCCGAGCCGAGCCGGCCGGCTCGCCAAAAAGGCGAGCCGAGCCGAGCCAAGCCGGGAATGGCTCGGCTTCTGCCCAGGTCTACTCTTCGCCTCCTCCTCCTCCCCCTAATTCTCCTCATCCTCCTCCTCCTCCTACTCTACTCCTCCTCCTCATTTTCCTCATCCTCCTCCTCCTCATTCTCCTCCTCCTCCTCCTCCTCCTCCTCCTCCTCCTCCTCCTCCTCCTCCTCCTCCTCCTCCTCCTCCTCCTCCTCCTCCTCCTCCTCCTCCTCCTCCTCCTCCCCCCTCCTCCTCCTCCTCCTCCTCCTCCTCCTCCTCCTCCTCCTCCTCCTCCTCCTCCTCCTCCTCCTCCTCCTCCTCCTCCTCCTCCTCCTCCTCACACTGGTTCACATCCCAAGGGTCTCCCCCGTTTCCCCCCTTGCTGGATTCTGCAACTCCGTCCTAGGGTTGAGCAAACTACTCGCCCGGGTCGGGTACCCGGTACCCGGACCCGCTTTTAGGGCGGGTCGGGTATCGGAAATCCTGAAAATTACCCGGCGGGTCGGGTCCGGGTTACCCGGGGCGGGTATCAATACCCGCTACCCGAAATGCTACCTGACGTGTTGGGTAACGGGTACCGACCCGGTCGGGTAAAATATACCCGAGGTCGGGTATCCCACCTAGACATGGGCGTAAGTCGCGCTGTGTTTTAGGTTTTGCGGCAAAAACGGTTTTGGAGGTGAGGGGGGACGAGTGGAGCATTTGTGAGGAGAAGTTGGAGTTTGTAGATGGGGAGGAGTTAAGTGCGATGAATGGGAGTTGGAGAAGAGGTTGGAGTTTGTAGATGGGTAGGAGTTCAGTGCGGTGAAAGGGAGGGAGTTTTGTTGGAAATGTTGGAGTTTGTAGACAGGGAAGAGTTCAGTGCGGTGAAAGGGAGGGAGTTGGGTGGTCAAAATTCGACCCCCAGAAAAGGCGACTCTCATTTGAGAGTCGCATTTTCAGGAACCCTACCTAGCCTAGCCCAACTTTAGGATGTCCACTAGTAGGTGGCGGGTAGTATTACCCGCTTTTCAGGGTAACCGGGTCGGGTATACCCGGACCCGCCAGGCGGGTATTGTATTACCCGCCCCCTAAGGCCGGGTCCGGGTAAGGGTCCTGGGCATATTACCCGACCCGGACCCGACCCGAAAATACCCGACCCGAGGTCGGGTATTGCAAAACCGGGTCGGGTCGGGTAATTACCCGGTTTTGCTCAAGTCTACTCCGTCCTCATCAATAGCACACTCAGCCTCCTCCTCCTCCTCTCCCTCCGCCTCCTCGTGTAAGGTACGCCGCTGCTTCTTCTTCCCCCTCTCCTTCCCGCCAGGCTTCTTCGCCCGCTTCCCGACCTTTGCCTTCCCCTTCTTCTTCCCCCTCCCACCCACCAGGCCAAAGGTCTCCCAATCAATGGCACATTCCTTGCCATCTTCCCCCCCCTCCTCCTCCTCAAGCTCCACCTCCAAGCCCTCAGATTCTGGTGGAGGGGCATTAGGCCTGCGGAGTCCCTCTCCAATCTTCCCCTCCGCGAAGTCCCCATATAGCTTAGCACGTTCAGCCACCTTCTCGTCGAACGCTGCCCTGGCGCGCCTGCTGAAGGCCACCCAGGTCACGTCGACCATGGTTTCAGCCTTCAGCCGGTTCCGGTCGCGCCGCTGAACCCGACTCATGGCGGACCACCAGCGCTCGACCTCTGAGGCGGTGAGGGGCTGTGAGAGCACTCTCACAGCCATCTCCTGCAGATCCTTTACCTCACCCCCGAAAATGACCCACCACTCCGCCTCCGACAGGCGCCCACTCGCCATGAGAATGGAGGCCGCCTACCGTGCCTGCTGGCTGCCCAACCGCCCCTCCCCGTTGTGGAAGGAGGCGAGTTGTGCCTGCAGCAAGACCTGCCGCTGCACATCGCTCTCCCATGCCGCAATGACCGTGGCGAAATCCTTGTTGACCTCACGGTCGTCGCGGACCTCCTTGTCAAACTGGTTGCATGGGGAGAGGAGCCACCCCACGGCCTGCAGGGGGTTGTGGAGCTGCCCATCCCACCTGCGGGCTATGACGGCTTTGATTTCGGCCAAAAAGAAAGCCCGGTCCCTCTGCGGCAGCCACGGAGTCTGCTTCACGAAAACGTTTGCTGCAGGGGGGATTGCCATGTGATAGGGAGGGAGTGACGGGGGCAGGGAGGTGAGTAATGTTCAAGGCTTGTGGTCCGTGTTAGAATATCCTACTATATTTTTTTAGTCTTGAGTAGATTTAAGCACTCCACTACTATTTAGACATGGGCAGCATGCCGAGCCTGGCTCGACTCGGCTCGATTCGAACTCGAGCCAGGCAAAAGTCGAGCCGAGCCGACTCGGCTCGACCCGAGCCGGCTGCCGCAAAATGGTTGGCTCGACTCGGGGGTTGAGGGTCGAGCCAAGGGTCGGCTTGACTTTGGCTCGGCTCGGCTCGACTCGCCAAAAGGGTTTCTTCTGTATGTTTTGAAAAGGTCTTGCTAGATCTTCTGCATGTTTCTTCTGCATGTCGAGGCCGGATTTGCTGTTCGCCCCCAATCTTCGATGCGGAGCCAGGCGCCGCTTTGGAGCAGGTTGAGCTGCGCTCCGCCTCGGCCATGGCGCGAATATTCCTGGCGTATTCTGACTGGCATTCAGCCACGTTCTTGAATTTCGTCGCGGGCGTACCGTATAGGTGCTCGCCTATCCTAGTAGTCGCACTGTTACTAAGCGTCAATTCGCAATGGAGGCATTCGATTCAGAGGACCTTGCCGTCCTCGCCCCTAACTCGGCGGACGTGTTCCCACAGGCGGGACGCCGCCCTGCCCATGTCTGCGACGCTGCCTAAATACGCCGGAAACAGGTCGCGAGGTGTTTTAAGTCAGCGATGTCAAGGAAATCTGCAGCTGCTAGGCGGTAGAGTAAACTGGCTTAGATTCCAGCTAGAAAAACGCTCGAAACTACATCCTGTGGTAGCTTAGAAAACGTCCTCTGTATTTGTATCTCACGCACTTCGAAGCTGGGTTGAGAAAGGCTTGGAAGAGAACCCCAATCCATTGGGTTCTGTTTTCGAAACGCGCTTCGGCAGTAGACATGATCAAAACGCGATTGCGATTTAAATCGCATCGCATGCAGGTGCGATGTTTAAAAAAGCGATGCAATTTTAAATCGCATCGCGCGATTTATTTTTCAAAATAAAAAATAAAAAATCACACATCGTATTTGACCCGCGATGTATTAAAAAATCGCATGCGATATTTAATTAAATCGCATCGCGTTTTAAAACAGAATTAAAAAACACCCCAAAAAAACAGAAAAAAACCATGGCTGTGGGGAAATTGACTCACAGGCAGTCGTAAGCTAGAGTGCAAATAACCAGTGTGGTTTCGTAGTGGGTTTCAGAGTGGGTTTCAGTGCAATATCGCGCGCGATTTTTTAAAAATCGCATATCGCATTTAAATTGCGTTTTTTAAGCGCGATTAAAATGCGATTTAAATTAAATCGCACGATATTAATTCATCGCATCGTGCGATGATTTAAAAAAAAAAAAAAACATCGCCATCGCAAAAATGCGATTAAATGCGATGCGATGCGATTTTTTTTGCCCATGTCTATTCGACAGGGTTCTTTCGCAAAATGCGCGAAACCACCCTACTGGGCGCGAAAAGAACCAACGGGTTTCGCAAAGGGGGGGTTCTTTTGTAACGGCCCAGGGAAATTTGGTAAAATGCGTGACTCGGGGTCTGGGTGAATTCGCGCTTCGGGAAAACGTTGACTTATGAACATTTGGGGGTGCGCGTGTACCCCCATCTTCAAAAATTTGATACGGAATTAGACATTCTGAATGTACACCACAGGTAAAAAAAAACTGCCGTTTTCTTTAACAAAAAAAGGGGTGATTTCGAGCGGTAGTATTCGTACTATACGGCCGTAAATTACGAAACTGTATAATACGGGCTAAAATTTAAAAGAAAAAGCGCCGTAACTTTGAACCTTGCTTAGGAGACAACAGTGCTGAAATGCGCTACACCTGGCTTGGCGTGCGAATTCAGCCTATCGCGCCGAATCTTTTTCTTCCGTTTTAGGGCCTACAGTCTTCATAAATGAGTTCAGGGCTCGCGTTAGGCTAGAGGAACTAACTAGGGTTACTAGGAAATGTTGGCGGGAGAGAGAAAGGGAAAATGCGTTCTGTCGAGGGGGAAAACTTACCCCTGAAATCGAGTCTCGAGCCACCTGGCTCGAAATCGAGCTGGGGTCAAGCCGGCTCGCCCCCGGCTGGACGAGGAAATCGTGCTCGGCTCGAGTCGAGCTGGGTCCCACAAAAAAAGGCTCGGCTCGCCATGTCGAGCCGAGCTGGATGTGGCTTGGCTTGTGTCCAGGTTTACTCAGAAGTAGATGAGAAATTAGATGCGTCTACATCACAAGTTTGCTCGCCACTTGTCTCCTTGTCACCTTGCCTCTTTGTGTCCTTCTTTTCGCGTCTGCGTGTCTGCTTGTCTGCCCTGTCCCTGTCTAGGGTGTCAGACGTTTAGCTGGATAAAATAGTAAGGGAGTTATGCACAAACCAAATAATTACATAGACTAGGCTGAAATACATGACAGGGAAATCAGGGTGAATCCCCAATAGCCCCTGCCCAACTTGGGCTGGATTGATGTTTTTCAGGGATCGCATTTGATTTGGGTGAGGTCGGAAATTTGTCAAACATCCAATGCACAAGCCTAGCACCAGCCTAGCACCAGCCCAAGAGTCAGATGCACCAGCCTAGCTCTAAGATCCGTATCTCCTTGCTTGGCTCCCTGTGTCCTTGACTTATACTACCATTGCTTATCCCTGGATGCTTAGGTTCAAATGTCGTTAGTGCATATTCGTTCAGTACTGTGGTTGAATACCCTTCAAGGACCCACTCGCCTTTTGTCACAGATATTATCGACCTGCATTGAGAAATGCTCCCTTATCTCCTCTCATCCTTCACCATCTCGTCTCACACACACTCCTCTTTGGATGGATGATCCCCCCCAGAGATCTCAAATGGAACAAGCTTCGTGGCTCCATGCCCTCAGGCATTGACAATCTCCGTAATCTGTGCTACTTGTAAGGATTGCAAGTTTCATGAGGGGAGAGCCTCTTAACCACACTGCTTATGACCAGTTGTGTTATATCCATTTCTTGTTTGTTACCATTTCTTGTTACTGCTTCCCTGTTACTAGTTTTCGAGTAGACGAAACGTACTGTATAGACTATTCGATAGCTTTGCCTGCAATTAGGGATGAGCAAACTACCCGACTGGGTCGGGTACCCGGTACCCGGACCCGCTTTTAGGCCGGGTCGGGTATCAGAAATCCTGGATAATACCCGGCGGGTCGGGTCCGGGTTACCCAGGCGGGTATTCAATACCCGGTACCCGAAATGCTACCCGACACGTCGGGTAGCGGGTACCCGACCCGAAATCGGGTAGCGGTCTACCCGACGGAACCAGCGAGACATTAGTCGCGCTGTTAGAGAAAATTCATCAAGTTTCTAGGTTACGTGAGCTGCTAGGTCACTTTGAGCATTGTAGATTGGCAGGGGTTGGGTTACGTAGATACAGATGCATTCAGAGTGGTTGAATTGGGGGGAATTGGTTGGAAGTCAAACCAATCGAATTTCCCCAAACCAATTTGCAACCCAACCTGAATCCAGCCAACCGCACAGCACCACATTTGTTGGAGTTCCAACCAATTGACTCTGGGGGTCAAAGAATCAAACCCCCAGAAACCACACACAACCCCATCCCAACTAGAAAACCCAACCAACTCCCCACCAGGCCCCACTCACGACCCACTCACCACACCAGAACTGTTGAAGATTTGGCGCACCTCATACTCCCTCCCGCAGCTCACGTTTTTTGAAGCACTATCTTGGTCGTAGGCTTAGTAGCCCAACAGGGTAGAAAAACGCGGGTAATACTACCCGCTTTTCAAGGAAACCGGGTCGGGTATACCCGGACCCGCCAGGCGGGTATTAAATTACCCGCCCCCCAAATCCCGGGTCCGGGTATTGGTCCTGGGCATATTACCCGACCCGTACCCGACCCGAAAATACCCGACCCGAAGTCGGGTATAGCAAAACCGGGTCGGGTCGGGTAAATACCCGGTTTTGCTCATGCCTACCTGCAATAGCTTGCATTCAATGGGAATTTTGCATCACTGTGTCACGCCCTTTTCATCTTCACCGTTCATCCACTCCTCTCTTTCACTCCCTGCTTCAATCTATTAACACATAGAATCCTCTACATGCTCTCTCAGGGATCTGGGCTATAACGCCTTGACTGGGTCAGTTCCATCTACAATTGGCAACATGAGCAGCCTCACTTACCTGTTAGTGTCATGGGAGCACAACTGAACTTCCATGTGTGCATCCTACCAGGGTATATTGTTGTTTCCACCGGGTAGGTAGAGATTTAGAGCTTGTTTTCTGTGCAATCCCCAGTCAGTTTCACTCGAAAGGCGACGATGCCATGCTCTTTCCATATCCCCCCCATTCACTCCTCACCTACCTTCTCCACTTAAATAAATCAACCCATGGAATCCTTTGCATGCACTATCAGGAATCTGGGCTACAACAACTTGACTGGGTCGGTTCCATCTACGATTGGCAACATGAGAAGCCTCAGTTACCTGTTAGTGGCATGTGTGCATCCTACTAGGGCATATGGTTGTCTCCACTGCGTAGAGAACTAGTGCTTGCTTTCTGTGAAGTCCCCAGTCACTTTCACTGGAAAGCCAACTATGTCATGCTCTTTTCATCTCCCCCTCATTCACTCCTCCCGCACCTTCTCCGTTATAACTACTTAACCCATGGAATCCTTTGCATGCACTATCAGGAATCTGGGATGGAACACCTTGACTGGGTCCATTCCTTCTACTATCGGCGACATGAGCAGCCTCACTACCCTGTCAGTCTTTTACCATGGAAACACGTGTGACCTTCTATGTTTCGCACTAGACATGGGCATGAGCCGAGCCTGGCTCGGCTCGGCTCGTTTTGGGTCGAGTCGAGCCGGCTCGGCTCGATGGCGAGCCGGGACCCTGAGATGACCGGCTTGGCTCGTCCCCATGGTGGCGAGCCAGGGCCGGCTCGCCAGCGAGCCGGCTCGCCTCGCCTCGCCTTGCTGGTTTGTACGGGGTTATTGGTTTTTGGGGACCCCTGTTTGCCAGCTTTGACTAGGTGCGCTGCGGGGATTGAGTTTGCCAAGCCCTACATAAACTCGTAATCTAGACTAGTTGGTGCGTTAAAACTAGCTAAGGCGCGCGCAACATACGAACGAAGTAGTTGCTAGCTAGGGTTAGTGGGATTGGTGTGGGGATGGCGTGGTACTAGTCTGTGAGGAGAGTGTTTCGTCGATCTACAAACTGTACCCACGCCAATACCCCCAAACCCCGAGGCGCGAGCCACTTGGCTCGAATTTGAGCCAGTGGCAAGCCGGCTCGCCCCGGCTTGCCGTCAAAAATGGTGACGAGCCGAGCCGAGCCGGCCGGCTCGCCTCGCCTCGAGCCGGGTACAAAAAAAGGAGGCTCGGCTCGCCGCCGAGCCGAGCCAGGTTCGGCTCGGCTTCTGCCCACGTCTATTTCGCACTAGTTCATACTCTTTACTGAAGCACGAAGCGACCCCCTACTTCTTTCTAGGTCTACTATTATCTGTTGCTTTCTGTCTGTTGCTTTTTCAGCTCGAGTGGAAAGGCAGCTCATGAGTTTCACATCTCGTCCATAGTACAAGAAACGCCGTTTCACATCCTTGATCCGTGGCTGTTACTCATGGATGCAGAGATCTAGGCTCAAACTTCATCTCCGCCATCCCAGAGACTCTTGGAGGGCTCCTCAACCTGAGAAATCTGTAGGTGCTCAAAACTTTGAAGTGTTACATAAAGGTACACAAGAAGGGCCTACATAAGATGACACCAAAGAGGGAGAGACACGCTTTTCTATTCGGGTATAGTTTCCATTTGGTACGGGCCACTATATTTCTATGCGTAGTTGACGTGGCAAGCCTCATTTGGGCAACATTGCCTCCTGTGTTTTCGCCCCTCCAGATACCTGAACAACAACAGCTTGAGTGGCAGCATTCCAGACTCCATCACCACGCTCGTAAATCTTCAAGCATTGTAAGAGGAAGAGAAATAATTTAAAAAAAGCATTTGAATTAATCATTTGTAGCTCTTACAGCGACAAAAAAATGAGGCTTCACAAAGTGCTATGTGGGGAAGTTTTTATGGGAACTGGGGATCTCTTTTGGCCAATAGTCATCACCAATCTTCACAAAACGTCCTCTAGTGCTACTTTGGTGCACGTCTGTGTCTGCATGTTTGTGTGTGTGGAAAGGGAGGGGGGAAGAGGGGGAAGGGGGGGGGAGGAGGCTTGGAGGGAAGGGGGGGGAGGAGGCTGGGGTGGTGTTGTTTGAATTGTTGGGATGTTGGAATCTCACGGGCTGCCTCCCTCCCTCCAACAATCGGCAGTTCTACCCATCTTTTGTTCTTATACGTTGAACCAAGGTTCAAAAATACAGTTTTCGACTGTATTATTCGACCGCTTTTTTCGGGGATTTCGGGAAAAAAAGGCAGTTTTTTTTTAAAGAGCATCCCTTTTTTTTTCTTTTGGTAGACAGCCTAATCGTCCGCCAGATCCGCGCCTTTCGTCTGCCCAAATGCCCGATCCGCGCATTTTGACAGGCGAAATGTCAGATTTGCGTATTTCGGCTGACGAAACGTTAGATCCAGGCATTTCGTCCACCAAAAACGCAAGATCTGGCACATTTTGGAGGTCAAAATGCCAGATATGTGCACTTCATGGGGCGAAATGCCAGATCCGCGGATTTCGTCGGATTTGTTTGCACATTTTTTTGGAATATTTGGCTGTATTTTTTAACCAACCTATTTTTGCACAAATTTTGCTGCTTTTCCCGTATTAAACGGCCGTTTAATTCAATACTGTTTTAAACGGGGATTTTTTTGAAAAGAAGGCGTATTTTTTAACCCTGCGTTGAACATATATTACCGCTGCAGAATCTCCGACACACGAATCCCATGCAAGGGCAACCCCGAAGTGGATAGATTTTCATGCAATGAGATTCACTATGAGTATGAAATCCAAATTTTCTTCTCGGAGTTTCCAGAGCACTCTCTGTGCACCTGCAGGTTCATATTTGTAACAGCACTCAAATGCCCACCGGAATACAGCACCTGCTTGGTCCCACTGGCCCACGGGAGTCTTCAACCACGTTCTGCCAGCAGTACCCTTCCTTGCGTATCACAGCAAAACCCATTTCTGCTATTTGCGGATGCAGGGATCTAAACTCGAACCTCCTCTCGCATACCATCCCAGGGTCCATCGGGAGCCTCACTAACTTGCAGTCATTGTACGTGATCATATTCTGCCCATGTGTTAGGAGGAAGGTACAGAGGAAGAGGGCTTACCAAATGTGACACCCAAAGAATCCCTAAAGAATCCCAATCCCAGACCAACTGTTTTAATTTTCATTCTCTGCTTTCGTAACCTTTGCTTCCAATTCATACAGGCGCTAAGGCAAGAGTAAGCCTCAATTGTGCAAAACTGCTTCTTCTCCCTACCAGATCCCTTCACAACAATAATTTAAGTGGCAGCATTCCAGACTCTATCAGCGAGCTCGTCCCTCTTATATCTCTGTATGCCCGCTCTCCCCTTATTAGTATGCGAGCCATCACCATGCGCCTTGTGACCTTCACATGAGATTCTATCACGCGCACTCACAAAATTGATTTGAGGGATTTCGATGCATCGGAGGAGTTTTAGGCATGTCTTTGGTTTCTGCTACATTGCTTTCTGATTCTTCACCTGTTCCTTCACCCCATCAGATGGCTATACAACAACAGTCTAAGTGGCAGCATTCCTGACTCCATCAGCAAGCTCGTAAATCTTGGATGGCTGTATGTTCTCATCCAAGGCGCAAAAAAGCGGCGTTTTTTTCAAAATTTTGTCGTTTTAAACGACATCGTAAGATTCCGTCGTTTAAAATGATAAAAAGCGGTCAATGTGCCCTTTTTTGATGTGGTGCAAAAAAGCGATCGTTTTATACGATCGCTTTTTTTGTACCCAACAATTGTATACGTATATCGCGTATGTTGGTTTGGCTGACTCGATTTTGGTGTCGCTCCAAAGTCAGATTCGAGCTGACACAATTTTCCAAAGTCAGGATGACGAGGAGGAGGAGGAGGTGGAGGAGGGAGTAGAAGTAGTAAGGGGGGGGTTAGGTGCCGGAGGAAGGCAGGGAGCTTTGCTCACGGGGAAAGTGGAGGAGGATTAGGAATAGTAGGGGGGGGACGGTAGGGGCAGCGCGATAGGGGTAGGGAGCTCTACTCACCTCTTTTATGGCGAATCTGTTGTCGTAGTCAGTGCAGTATGCCTCAGGGATAGTGCCATGAGGTTTTTGGACTGATTAATAAAAAAATTGTGACTGGAGTTTTCGAACAAAAAAACGGCGTTTTTTTCAAAAAAAGGCCGTATAAAACGATCGTATTAAACGGCCCGTTTAAAACGACCATCGCTTTTTTGCGCCTTGTTCTCATCTCCCTCTATAATGTGCGAGTTATAGCGATGTGCCACGTGGCCGTCATGTAACTGTGCTGCGATTCATCAGAGAAGTCATAAGCAAGGACTCTCAAAGCCACGTAAAAGAAGAAGGGACGAACTATTACCTGTATTGCCACTTATGATTTAGAATCCCGTCCTGTTGTTCAGGCGAAACGAAACACTTCCAAGTCCTTTCAAGGCTTGACAAGGGGAAAGGGGGAATGAAACATTTCAATCAGTCCATTTCCGAGGCTTCATGAGGAAGAAGGGCAGCAGATTCCCAAGAGCTGCGAGGAAAAGTGTGGAAGAAACAGAAAGGCTGATTTGCTTAGAAGAGGGGTTGGAGTAACTCTTAGGGGTGAGATTAAACTCGATTTGTTCGCTCATGCCGGTCCAGGTGGGTTGAGTTTATCAACCAGTTCATTGTCGGATGGGACAATAGCGGTTGGTTTTGACAACCAATAATGCAGGGCGTGGCCAACACTATTGAACTTCAATTCAACTATTGGGTCAGGAGTCGGGCTGACGAACGCCAACATATCTACACCCATGGTGCAAAGGAACAGCGTTTGTTCTCAATTCTGACCGTATGGTCCGGTACCGAAAATTTTGGGCCATATAATACGAAAAAAAGGTCAGAAGTGCCATTTTGAGGGATGTGCAAACAATCGGCTGTATTTTTAAGCCGGTTTCTTCTCCTTTACTTCTTGTAATAACCGGCCGTTCCCAGAAAGTTTGAACAATAAAACGGCATTTTTTTCATAAAGGCTGGAAAATAGAATCATATTATAAGGCTCGTATAGTACGATTACGGTGTTATTGCACATTGTTTACACCCCACAACAGACCCGTGTCTGCTACACAGTTATAAATCATCTACTAATCTGACAAAACAGCCCCCTTTTATTGTGTGTGTGTGTGTGTGTGTGTGTGTGTGTGTGTGTGCGCGCGCGCGCGCGTGCTTGCATTGCAGTTTGGTCGGCCACAACAGACTCACTGGACGTATCCCTCCAACGATAAGCAGCCTTACCCGTCTATTTTTCCTGTATGTCAACAATCCACAACAAGCCGACAAAACAAAGCTCGAACGTGACTCTGTGCACTCTACTCATTCAAAGTTTGACCTGTGAGAAGACTCACGAAGTTTGCTGAACACCCAACTGAACAAGGAAATCGTATTCAAGAACAATGAAATCCCAATTTCTGAACAGTTTGATCAACTCCCCACTGTGCACAATTGCTCCCTGAAACAGTTGTCGCATGCCCATCAAGTAAGAGCAGCTGCATGGTCCCAAAGACCGCTTGAAGCTCTTTCTGCCATCACTCTTTGTGTGTGCATGGGAGGGGGTTTTGCTTTCATCACAGTAATGTCAGCGGAAACAACCTCAGTGGCCAGCTCCCCACAGCAATGGGCAGCCTTACTGGACTTTACTTGCTGTAAGACGACTCCAAAGGCATCGCTAGGTCTTTCACACCTCTTCTACTCTTGCGCCATTCAATTGCAACGCCAGAATGCATCATTTTCTGCATAATGAGATTCGGTAAGTTAATCCCAAAGACTGCTTCAAGCGCTTTCTGCCATCACTCTTTGTGTGTGCATTGGAGGGGTTTGTGCTTGCATTGCAGTGATGTCAGCGGAAACAACCTCACTGGCCAGCTCCCCCCAGCAATGGGCAGCTTTTTTGGTCTGATACTCCTGTAAGGCAGCTCCAATAGCACGGCTTGATCTTTCACAAATCTTCCACTCTTGCCCCAACCAATTGCAACCCCGGAGTGCAGCATTTTCTGCGTGATGAGGTTCAGTAAGCGAATGAAATGGTAAAGATTATAAAACACCCCCTGTGCACGTGCAGGAACATATCTGACACAGCAATCACATGCCCACGTAACAACAGCAGCTGTGTGGTCCCACAGACTACTTTAAGCGCCCTCTGCAAAAATTGCCCTTCTTTCTGCTCCACCTGTCGCAAGCCACCACCCGGTGAGACTCAATTTCCTTTAGACCCTCACCACCCCGTGCGACACAATGTAGAATTGGCAAGTCACCAACCATTCGCAGTGCACTGCACTTACTCCTTCACCTCCTCCGTGTCCTGCCTGTATACACTTTCAATCGCGACTTTTATTAAACAGTAAGTATGTTTAATTTCTGACGCCTCCTTTCATTCCCCACCTCTTTGAACCCGGACCATGTCCAACACCCCTCTTCCCACCTCCAGCACCTCCGTCCCCATATCCACCACCCTCCTCCCCCTCTCTACCCTCACCTTCCATCTCCACTCCTCTCTCTCCCTCTCAACAACCACCTTCCACCACGATCAGCACACCCTCTCCACCTCCTCCGAGTCAAACCACAATGTCTTCCTCCCAGTCTGAAGGGGGGCTGTCAGTGGGCGCCATAGCTGGCATTGCTGCTGCTGGCGGTGTGGCTATCCTTGGGCTGCTGCTGCTGGGTCTGATGGTATTCAAGAGGCGGCGCACCAAAGGGGCAGCGACTAAAAGACGTACTGGAGTGGATGTGAGGGGCAAGGATTTGGCAATGGAAAATGCACTCCAAGGCAAGATAACTCGGAAATGCATTGTCTTGTTCCACCAATGCTCTTGTGGTGCATACACCAGAAGTTTCACCATTCCTTTCCACTTTCACTACCCTCCCAATCCTCAGAACCGGTGTTACCAGAAGAACCATACACGTCAGAGTAGAGGGACCCGGAAGCAGCAGCAGCCGCAGCAGCAGCAGGGGTGTAACTTTTTAAGTCCCCGAAGCTACTTTAGACTGCGGATTATGCACCGGATGCTTTGATGCTTCGCTTGACTTGCCCTATTCTATTTTGCACTGTCATGCACAGTCCTTTGTTTTCGCCAGGTGTTCGTAGATCTGGTGACCTACTGCTAGGGAGGAGAGTTTCGGGGCACAGGCAAACAGGGTTACGTTACATCTTGCCTTGACAATTAAAACCCGCTTCCCAAATTATTAAAACACAGTTCGTATGAAAACTAGGTGGGGTTATACGAAACAAGGGGGATCATTGCGAGGGACAAGATGTTCGTCAACCGTCATATTCGCGAGCAAATGTTCCGACAGTTGCGATCAGGCCTGGGCTCACTCTAGAACACAGGTGGCTCGCAGTATCAGATTGAGAGAAGAGAATGATAGATAGAGGGAGAGGACAGAGAGATATACCTAAGTATTGTACTCTCTAAGAGGTGACCCTATTCAGTCTATGCAAACATAACAAATACACATGTTTGACACACCCCCTAGACTGCATAGGGGAATGTCCTAAACAAGCAGCTCAGGGCGGCACTACTAGTCCAACCTCTGAGACAAGGGTCTAAGAGACCAGTCAGAAGGAGTACAGACAAGGCAGGAACAAGACCAGGGCGGTACTACTAGTCCAGCCACTGGGAGAGGACACAAGTCCAGTCTGAGTACACATATAAAGGACAGTACAAAGTCAAGGCCCTAGCAAGTGAGAGGCTACAGGAACTAGACCAAGCTGTACACAGTGCCGCTGATGAACTTTAGGCACGAGCGCCTTCGTAAAGATATCAGCTGTGTTGGCACCTGAGGCCAAGTGTACTACGCGAGCCTGACGTCGCTGCTGTAGCTCACGCAGGAGGAAGTACCGCAGCTGAATATGCTTCGCTCTGCCCTCGAGTCGGGGCTCCTGACACAGGAGGATCATGGCCCTGTTGTCAGCGAACAGGACCGGGGCAGAGCTAGGCTGCTCACCTAAGTCAGTGAGCAAGAAGGTCAGCCAGCGGAGCTCCTGTGCCGCCATGGCACCAGCGTAAATCTCAGCCTCACAGCTGGACTGGGCAACAGACGAGGAGCGGGTAGCTCTCCACGACATGGCACCTGAGCCAAGGCTGAAGCAGTAGCCCTGGGTAGACCCGAGTGTCTCGGCGTCGTCTGCCCACGAAGCGTCTGTGTGTCCAGTAAGGACCACTGGCCTGCGTCCTCCTAGCACTAACCCCATGCCCGATGTACTAGCAAGATAACGCAAAACCCTCTTAGCAGCAGACCAGTGCTGCGGTCGGTGTCTGCCTGTGGCCACAAAGCGAGCCAGGATGCTGAGAGGGTATGCGAGATCTGGGCGAGTGCAAGTCATCAGGTACATGAGGCAACCCACCAGCTCTGCGTAGGGGCCGCTGGGCTCTACCGACTCCTCAGACACTGGAGCGGAGAGTCTGTGGTCTACAGGCAGAGGGGTGGGCTGTGCGGAGGAGAACTGAAGGCTGAACCTCTGAAGGACCTGGCGCACCAAGTGTGACTGAGTCAGGGTGATGGTGCGCGAAGCTCTGTCCCTGGAGATCTGCAAGCCAAGGTAGCGGCGCAGTTCTCCAAGGTCAGTGCACGTGTGTCTCTTCAGCAGCTCTGCCTTCACTGAGGCCAGTGCGTCCCTGTCTGCTGTGGCAAAGACCAGGTCGTCGACGTAAACAAGGATGTAGAACGGAGTCTGGCCAGCACGAACGAAGAGTGAGGGGTCTGCGGAGGACGGAAAGAACTGCAGGTCAGCAAGGGTAGCACGCAGCGTGTCGTGCCACTCACGGGGAGCCTGGCGCAGGCCGTAGACGGGGCGCCGCAGGAGCCACTGGGTCCCAGGAGGAAAGGTGCCAGTAAAGCCCTGAGGGCGACGCAAGTAGACCTGCTCGTGTAGGCTGCCCTGAAGGAAGGCAGTGGAGAAGTCGAGGGAGTGAAGCTCGTAGTCACGCTGAGCAGCTAGGTGTAACAGAACCCGAAGAGTAGTCATCTTCGGGGTCGGAGCGAAGGTCTGGAAGAAATCCACCCCCTCACGCTGACTGAAGCCTCTAGCCACGTAGCGCGCCTTGAACACAGGAGGCTCTCCGGGAGGGCGCTTCACCTTGAAGAGCCAGCGGCCATCGACTACGTTCACCCCAGGTGGAGGAACTGCGTCGACGAAGGTGCCGGTGGATCTCCAAGATGCCATCTCCTGCTCCATGGCAGCTATCCACTGCGAGGCCCAAGGTCCCGAGGTCGCCTCAGCGTAAGTGCGAGGGGTCGGGATGTCGAAAGCGTCTGGGTCACCCTCAGGGACTAGCAGCATGGAACAGAGATGGGGAGCAGCCTCGGACAGGAAAGCAAGCTCGAACTGGCGGTCCTCCAGGACGTCACTGCCGAGGGCAGGAGCACCCCCGACAGACGGAGGACAGGCAGGGTCAGAGACCAGAGCGGTAGCGTAGTCAAGGCGGTGGGTAGAGGCGAAGTCGGTGACCGCAGCTACAAGAGCGTCAAGGCACGAGACCGGAACAGACGGGTCGGTAACGAGAGGCAAGGACCCGAGGAACAAGAGGACGAGCGGCACGAAGGTAGTCAGACAGCGGGGGGGGTGCAACAACAAGGGAGGACGGAGGAGGCGACGGGAGAAGGGGAGGACGAGACGCGTGGGAACAAAGCAACATAGGGTGGGAGCGCAAGACAGGGGAGGCAGGGCGAGCACGGGAGGGACGGTGGGACCAGACGTGAGACGGAGGAGTCGGGTCAGGAGACAGAGGAGGGGACACAGGGGGGGAACGAGGGGGAAAGCGAGCCGGGGCAAGTCCGGCGGAGGGAACACAGGGCCGTAGACGGGAAGAGGAGGAGACGGCCGGGGAGGAACAGACGCAGGGTCAGGGGACGGAAGGCCGAGCAGGCGAAGGGCTGACACCGGCGGGGACTGCTGCTGCGGCGGCGCAACGCAGACACCTGGACCGCAAGTTGCTCCTCGGCTACCACCGGCACGCTCCACACGAGCACCCCCAGAGGGAACACCTCCAGGGCTCGAAACCCCTCAAGGACCGGTACCACCCCCAGGGCTACCGGGACGAGCACGCACTCCAACGCCAGCACCCCCAGAGTCAACGAGCGGCAGCTGCGACGGCGGCGGCGGCGGCAGCGACAACGACAGCTGCGACGGCGGCGGCGGCGGCGGCGGAGGTGACAACGGCTGCGACACTAGGGGCGACAGCGGCGACAGAGGCGGTGGAGGAGGGGACGCCTGGGGAGGGGCGGCTGGCGAGGACTGCGCCGCAGGGCCACCAGAGTCAGAAGACTCCTCAACCGGGACCACCGACGAAAGAGGGGTGACGTGGGACACACCAGAGGGGGCAGGACGGGGAGGGGGAGGGGGAGGGGCAGGGACTACCGGGGAGGGAGTGACCAGGAACAGGGGGGGGTAACCGGGGGACCGCGGTGGGGGAAGCGACGGTAGTAGGAGACGGACTCGTCAAAGGTGACGTCGCGAGAGTGAAAGAAGCGGTGAGACGGCGGGTGGTAGAAGTGCCAGTCGGACGCGTCAAGGGGAAAACCGAGGAAGACGCAGGGAAGGGTGCGGGCAGTGAGCTTGTCCGTGCTGGAGGCACGAACGTGAGCAAGGCAGCCCAAGACGTGGAACGCAGACGCGTCACCAGGAGACCCAGTCCAAAGACGGGTCGGCGAAACCAGCGGCTGCTGGGGGTGCGGCCACAGGTTAAGCTGGTGAGCGGCGTAGCGAACGGCGAACGGCCACAGAAAATGGGGTGCACCGGCATGGATCATGGAGGTGCGAGCCACCTCCATGACCAAACCGATGCGTCGCTCAGCGACCCCATTCTGCTGTGGGGAGTCCGGTAGGGTGAACGTCTGGGTGATGCCCTCCGCACGACAAAAGCGACCAAGGACACCGGAGGCAAACTCGCCACCCCGGTCGGAGTGAAGACGCAAGACAGGGAGACCTCGGTGGACACGGGCAGAGACAAGCCAGGGGATGAGAGCGTCAGGCACGTCGGCCTTCCGCTCCAGGGGAAAGACCGAGGTGTAGCGAGTGAAGTCGTCGACAAGCACAAGGAAGTAGCGCTCTCGACGCGGCCCATGGACGGGGGCGGGGCCCCAGACGTCCATGTGCAGGGTCTGCAGCGGCGCGGCGGTAGGAGGAAACGAGGAGGAGTGAGGGGCACGGCGAAGCCGACCCTCGACGCAAGGCGTGCAAGGTGGGGCTGGGGAGGAGGGAAAAGCGGGGAGAGAACCAGGGAGACCAAGGACGAGACCGTGCTGGGACATGTGACGCAGATGCGGGAGCGCAGGGTGACCTAGGCGGTGGTGCCAGAGGAGAGTCGGGTGAGTGAGGGACCGACAGGAGCAGGCAGCAGCAACCTGGGTAGACGCAGCCACCTGGGGGAACAGCCTAGCCGGGGAAGTCACGGTGTCAAGTGTGAACAGGCCTGACACCGGGTCCCGGGGGAACGTGGTAAGGGGGGCACCAGTGGCGGCCTCGGTACAGACAGCATACCGCTCGTGACCAGGGAACGTAGTGGTGACGCCAAGGTCCTGGAGGCAGCCGACACCAACTAGGTTCCTGGAGAACGAGGGGATATGCAGACCTGTGAGAGAGCCCGAAGGAACCGCCGGACAGGGAAGGGAGGTGGAACTGCGGGCGACTACCGGACCACCAGAGGGGTCAGCAGGAACAGGAAGCGGCGTCAGCGTGGTGGAGTCGCGGAAGAAACACCGGGAAGCGCCAGAGTCCAAGGTAAAGGAAAGCGCAGCAGTGGCGCCTGGCGGCGGAGAAGCGATGGAAGCACCGAGGCTAAACAAAGCAGGTGATCCTACGCCTGATGCAGCAGGGGAGTCTACGCTAGACACACCTACACTAGGCAACACGGGGTAATAAGAAGGAAGCACACTAGAGTCATCAGCATACATCACATGCAGGGCGGCTACAATGGCATCCATGTCCAAGTCAAAAATCTGAATACTACGCCTAAGCAAACTGTGCCAGTCCGGGAGGTCTGGCGACGGGCCGAAGCGCTGACGAAACAGGTCGTCCAGGCGACGAAAACAGCGAGGAGTGGAGTGACCGATCTTACCGCAAACAAAGCCGCGGCGAGGACCGGTCTGGATCTGGTACTGACAACGCCCGCCGCCCGAGCCACCACTCGGCACACCACCACGCGCCCGGCCACCGCCAGCGCCGGGCCACCCGGGCGGGAGGACACTCGTCTGCCGTGTCTGCGAAGGCTGCTGCGGCTGCTGCGAAGGCTGCGACTGCGGCGGCTGCTGC